GAAACAGCTCAGAAGAAAGTGAACCATACTGAAGGCATGCATCAAACATTGCCAGAAACAATAATACTGAACACCTTAGGCCATCGATAATTGGTGCCAAAGAAGGAAGCTCTGAACAGCTGAGGTTTATATATCCAGACACACAAATTACTGGGTCACCATACACATAAAATGAACATCAAGCATGAAACCCCCTTTAAAGTACTACCATTTAATGGTGATTGCGAGTAGCAGTTAGTGATACTAATCAGTATTTTGCAGCGCGATTGGCATTGGGGCATTGAGAATTCTCCACTTCTCTCATTTCCCCAAATTACATGAGAAGATTACTTGAACAGATATTTTTTATGGCTGGGAAAGGGAGATGTAGTCAACACTGTCCAGGGTTGACTGTGGGCTCTGGCTCCGGGAAAACTAAGGACCGCGGCTCAAAAATGCATAATTTATAATTACTTAATCATGCAACTACTATTATATTTGATGCCTAATAACTACTTCATCAGTTAAAATGTACAATAAATTATTTTCTATGTTATAGCATGAGGTTTGGCATTAACATTAGTTATAAATACAAACAAAAATGTAATCCTGATTTTCAGTGAACCATTAGAATGTTAAATTTAATAAAAAAAATTCAGTTTCTTGACACCCTTGGATATATCTGCTTAAAACATTGCTTAAAAGTAAATAAACTGAAAAAAAAATCAATTAAACATCTGTATTAGTTTCATGTTAGTTTTTATTCTTCTACATTCACAAAACATTTACAGGTGACAGATGGTACGCTGCAAATCCAAACCTAGCTCCAAAGCCATGCTAAAACTGTAGATGTTTCAGTGTGAATCTGGACCTAAACAAAAAGGAAGTTGAAGGAGATCAAAAGTCAGTCATTATGCATCCTAATTCATATCTGAAACAACTGGGTTTTGCGTTGGAATTGGATAAAAATCTTGTTTCTAATACACAAGAATGTATTTGTATATAAATTATACTAGTTGCCTTGACCACCATACTGTACTTGCTTCTATTAACATCACCCTCATATAAATACCCACCATCAGTGTCAAGTACACTTTTCTGGGGGGAGCCCCATCGGCTCAACGGAGTTATCCAGGCTGATATTGCTAATGTCTGACTTTGGCATCAGTCATGTGTATGGAATTCTTTAGGCCAACCGGGGACCACGAGCAAGAACCTGGCTCCCTCAGAGAGGCACGAGGAGCAATGGCCTATAGAAACCCCCATGTGGTTGGAAGCATTCTATGTCTGCCATCAACCGGGTCAGGCACCCAGAAAGGTAAGCATCCCAAAACAAGCCCCTATTCTGGCTAATTAATTGCTACTGGGAGCCGAACTAGTGGACAGAACTTCCCAAACAAAAACGAGTACCTGTATGACGTCACCATGTTGCCGCGTCACCGTCTGCGCAGCTCCCCCCTCTATGGGTGGGGAATGGGAAGCCCCAGACCCCTCACACCGGCTACCCAAGACCCCAGTTCTGAGGCTGATGTGCTAGACAGAGGTCGTGTGCTCTGGCTCCAGACTTGGTCTCAGCTCTGTGCCTTGTGGTGTGGTGGCTGTTTTATAGGGGGTGTGCGAGCCAGGAGTCATTCTTCAGTACTCAGGCTGCATGTGCCTAGGGTTCCCTTCCCTAGGTACCCGGTAAGTACTGCCCTTGGGGCTTGGGGCCACCTTCCACAAGTTCCTTGGGGTCTACCTCTGCTTGGCCGTTTACTGCTCGGTTTTCGGCCACCCTTTGTGTACTTACGGGTGTTTTGTCTCCCTTGTTCGCCTTGGGGTAGGAGGTAGTTTGCATTGGTAAGGGGCGCAAGGTAATACACAACTTGTTTTCACTAATCATAGCGGCCAGCTCTGTTCCGCCTGAGTATGCTGTCCTCTTGCGGGGTTTTCTTTTTCTTTTTGTTTGCCTGCCTGGTGGGGGGTCTGCCTTAATTATTGCCCCCTGTGTACTGAATACTCTATTCAGGTGGTACCCCCTGCTAGGTCCCCGTATGTGTAGACATCTCAAGGGTTCAGTTCTTAGAAAGTTGTTTGGTACTTGAGCGCTGGTTAGCAGTACCCTGCCTGAGCTTTCCTGAGCGTGAGTTCCTTCTCAGGACCCTGGGAAACCCCACGGGGGTGTGTGGGTCCGATGGATGTGACCCCTGAGTCCCACCTCGCTTTGTGCAAGTTCAAGGGTTGCTCTGTCCCCTTGTCTTAGGGTGACTCTCACTTTTCTGGAGGGATCCCCTATGGCTCCTCGGAGCTATCCAGGCTGATATGGATACCCTAACTATTTTGCATCAGTTGATGTGGGTTGAGTTCTAGGCCTACCGGGAACCACGCGCCAGAACCTGGCCCCTCTCACAGAGGCATGAGGAACAATGGCCCATAGAAATGCACATGTGATTTGGAGCATTCTATATCTGCCATCGACCGGGACAGGCACCCAGAAAAGTAAGCGCCAAAAAACAAACCCCTATTCTGATTAACAAATCAGAATAGGGGATTCTGTCCTCTCGTCAAACGAGTGGACAGAACTCCTCCCCCCCCCCCCCAAATGAGCAAACAAGCACAACGTCACATGAGCCATGCCGCATGTCTGCGCAGCTCCCACCTTCCCGGGAGGGGGAAGGGGGAGTCCCAGACCCTTGCACCGGCGATCCCTCACCCCAGTTCCTTGGCTGATGGGATCATGCATAGTCACGTGGCTCTAGCTCCAGTCTTCTCTCAGTGATGTTATTTATTTTCAGTGCTTCTTTTATGGTGGTCGTGCAAGCTGCTGGTATTATTCTCAGGTACTCGGGCTGCATGTGCTTAGGGTCACCTTCCTTGAGTGTCCTGTAAGCACTGCCCTTGGGGCTGGGGGTTTTCTTCCACAAGTCACCTTGGGTCTACCTCTGTTGGCCTTTCGCTGCTTGACGTTTGGCCGCCCAGAGTGTTTGGGGGTTTCCACCCTTGTTTGCCTTGGGGAAAGTGGTAGTTATTGCACTAGTGGGGTGTGGGGTACTGCATAGCTAGTTTTCACCTTTAACAGCAGCCGGCTCTGTTCTCTTCGGGTACGTTGTCCTCTTGCGAGGTTTTTCTTTTCTTTTTCTTTTTGCTGGGTGTGGGGTTCGGCTTTCTGTTCTCCCGCCTTCCTTATCGTAGAGTTGTTTGTGTGGTGGCATCCCCTGCTTCGCCCTCGTGAGTGGACACGTCCCATGAGTTGAGCTTTTAGCAGTTTGCTAGGTACTTTTGGGTGCCAGTTAGCAGTACCCTGCCTGGGATAACCCTTAACAGACCCAGTCTAGGGGCCCTGGAAAACCCTGCAGAGGGCACTCGGGGCCGATGGAGGAGATCCCTGCATTCCCTCTCGCTTTGTGCAGGTTTGAGGGTTGCTCTGTCCCCTTGTCTCAGGGCGACACTCATTGTTTTTGCCTCCGTCGTGCTGCTTGTTGGGTCGGTGACACATTCGACCTCGAGTCCTGCGAGCTTTGTTGCTTGTTTGTGACTCAATTCACCCAGACTGATGATGATTTTCTTCACGTGCAGGCAGCATGCGTATTGCAGGATAGGTTTAGGTTATTGGCAGTGGGGTTTGCTTTCCCCCCCTCTGCGTACGATTTGGACTTAGGTTCAGCTCCTCCCCAGGTTCGGTTCTGTCTTTCCGGAGGTTTTCGCCTCCTGAGGTGCAGTTGGCCATTGTGGTTTACCTCCTGAAGGCCCCGGGGGAGTGTCTTTCCATGCGGTTCATGTCCGGGGAGTGTCCAACGTCCTTCCCAGGGTTCCGAGACGGCCTGTCTCGGTTCATTCCTCTGTTCACGGATTGGCCAGTTTTCGCAGACTCGTTTCGTTGGCTCTACCGGACGTATGGACATCATCGCGTCGGTGTGGTCTTGGCGTCTCCCATTCTATTTGGCGCCCTTCCCCACCTGTGAGGCATTCACGGTGGATGCCTTTCGGCAGGACTGGTCAAGGTGGAGTTACCTGTACCTCTTCCCCCAGTCCAGTTGTTGCTTCAGATTCTGGCTCGGTTGGAGTCATTCCCAAAGAGAGTAGTCCTCGTGGCCTTTTGGTGGCTGGCTTAGCTTTGTTTTCAGACGCTGCTTGATCGGTGTCCGAACCCGGGGCGTTTCCCGCAGCTCCGCCTCTTTTGGCAGGTCGGATCGGTAAAGTACTTGGCTGGTTCGGCCTTCTCCTTGGCTCTTCGTGTCTGGTCTTTTGACACGGGTGTATCACCATCTCTATGGTGATTAGGTGGCTTCGTTGATGGTGACCACCTGCGAGCTTCGTCTCGGCGACAGTATGAAGTTTCCTGGTTTTTCTTTTCACCATTTTCTTGTTCTTCGTAGGTTATCTTCTCTTTCCCATTGGGTTATCTTGCCCTTTCCTGGTTTTTCAGGACCGTTATTTGATGCTTCTTACTGTTGCCTCATATCGTGCGGCGCTGGCAGAGCTGCTCCAGCTTGCGTTCATGGTGGACGTCACATCTACCCTATTCCGTATGCTTTCTCATGCTTTATTTCATCTCCAGCCTGCTCGTGCGCCACCTGAGCCATCCTGGTCTTTGGTCAGGGTGCTCTCTTATCCTTTGCTTGTTTTCTTGGGATTGTAGGGAGTTCTACCTCTCTGTTCAGTTTTTGTTGTTAGTTTCTTACCATGTGGGGTTTGTTTTGTTATGCCTACCTTTGTGGATGCCTAAACTCAGTTGATGGCAGATAAGGAAAAACCCCAGCCACAGGGGGAGATTTCCAGGGCCATTGCTCCCTGAAACCTCTCTGAAGGGGCGAAGTTCTGGCTCATGGTCCCTGGTAGGTCTGAACTCCTTAGCTAATATCCCGTTCTAATATAACATACATTAGCCCGATAAGCTCCAGGGAGCCTCCGGGGCTCACCCAGAAGATGGCGTTTCATTACATTCAACGCTGACTTTTTTTTTTTTTTTTTTTTTTTTTTTTTTATAAAGAGTTAATGCTGTTATATGTCCCTATATTATGTAATTTTTTCTTTATTTTAAGGGAATGATGTGGTTTTGGGTCCACCTCAACTTGTTCACTATGGCACAATGGGAAATGGCGTCCCATTGGAGCAGGCCATATCTAGACAGAGGTTACGGCCTGGTTCTGGAACACTGGCTGTGAAGGTGGATACTGATGGACCAACACGTGTGCTGCAAATAACAGATATCCACAGTAAGGTAAATCATAACAATCAAGACCTATATTGTATTCTCTAGTGAAAAATGCCTATGTAATTTTTGTATTAGAAATTCTATTTAAGACACCTTTTTATCATAGAATTTAGGAATATATTTTCACCACTGCACTGCGCCACATTAATGTGACAGGCTAACCCCCGTGACATATGACATGACATAATATGACACCCCTGTGGGGCACCAAAATTTTTTATTTCCAAAAAATTATTTTCTCTTCCTTGTTATGCTTACCTTTCTGGGTGCCTGACCCCGGTCGATAACAGATAAGGAAAACCCCCAACCACAAGGGGTTTTTCCAGGGCCATTGCTCCCTGAAACCTCTCTGAAGGGGCCAGGTTCTGGTGCTGGTCCCTGGTAGGTCTGAACTCCATAGCTAATGTCGCGGTCTAATATTACATACATTAGCCTGATAAGCTCCAGGGAGCGTCCGGGGCTCACCCAGAAAATGGTGTTTCATTACATTCAAAGCTGGTTTTTTCTTTTGTTTGCTTGGTGGGGGTCTGCCCCAGTGTGGCTACAGGACCTCTTGTATTATTTTGGTGGCCCTCTGCTAGGCCCCCTTAATTGTACACGTCGCAGGGATTCAGCTTTTGTTTTTGTTTGTTTGGTAGTTCTGGGATCACCGTTTAGCAGTACCTTGCCTGGGATCACTGTTTAGCAGTACCTTGCCTGGGCTTCCCTTAGCAGTCAGTCTAAGGTTCCTGGAAAACCCAATTGCTGCTCATTATTCCAATGGATGGATCCTCTGATTCCCCTTCTCGCTTAGTGCGAGTTTGAAGGGTGCTCTGTCCCCTTGTCTCAGGATGACACTCACCGTTTTTGCCTCTGCCATGCTGCCTGTTGGGTCAATGACACCTTTGACCTAGAGCCCTGCGAGTGGTCTTCCTTGCTTGTACTCCAATTCACCCAGTCCACTGATATTGATATTTGAGTGCAAACAACTTCAGTGTTGCATGCGCGGTGTAGGTTGCTGCAACACGCTAGGTTAGTTGCCTTTCCGGATGCCCCGAGGCTGCCTCACTTTGGTTATAGGGACCTGGACTTGGGGGCATTAGTCGCCTCGACTTTGGTTTCGTTCATGCCAATCCCCTAATCCTTCCCCGTCTGTTGTTCGTCTTGCCCTTGGAGTACATCGGGGGCCTTGGGCTTTCCTTTTTGCCCCGGGTAGGGAGTGGGTTTTTGCTGGGTGGAGCACACTGCGGCTGGCGCAGCTTGCATACAGCGGCAGCCAATGATTCTCTCTGGCGACCGGTTTGTTTGTGTGTTGCTTTGAAGCTTTTTTGTTTTGTTTTTAGCGTACTCGCTAGACTTTGGCGGAGGTGGTCTACCTAGCATCCTATTAGGCTGCCTAAGTAGTGTTGGTGGTCGTCCTTTGTTGCCTCGAAGTTTCAGGGTGACTTCTGGTTGTCAGTTTGCCTTTCACTGACAGGGTTTACCGGCTTAGCTAGCCCTAGTGCCTAGGCTTCTCATGGGGCTAACGTACCTTACGGGCCCTAGAAAACCCCGTTGGGCTCGGGGGTATCATGGATGCATCTTCCAAGCCCTCTCTCTCTCTCTCTCTCTCTCTCCTTGTGGGATGTCGTTGGTTGTTCGTTGTCCCTGCCTCATGGTAATGATTACCCATCCTACCTCTGTCATGCTGCCTGTTGGGTCGGTAACACCTATGACACTGAGTCTTAGGGGATTTGTTCTCGGCTTGTTATTCAGTTTACCCATTCCTTGTCTGAGGATGTTCGGGGTTAGGCAGCGGCTGCGTTGCATGCTCGGTTTTCTTTGTTTCAACGAGCCAGGTTAGTTGCCCTGTTGGAAGCCACGGAGCTGCCCCACTTGTGTTTTGAGACCAGGATTTCATGGTGTTGGTTACTTCAACCATGGTTCCATCCGCACCCTTGCCTCCTTCGCAGGAGGGTGTGGTTTGATCTGTTCCTCCAGCCTCTGCTTCCAGCTCCAAACGTCTGAGGGTTTTGGAGCCGAGGCAGGGCTTAACTTGGGATGAGGCTCGGCTGGCTTCAGGGATTGCCCCTTCCAATTTGGGGACGGAGGTTGTTTAGTCTGATTTTCCCGCCAAAGCTTCTGGATCGACCCTGCTGACTCCCTTCTTTGACTTTCCCCTGGACTCCACCTTTTCATCAGGGGTGGTGTGCGTGGATGAGGGCTCTGCCCTGGGTCCTCTGTCGGAGGTTCCTGGGTCTCCAAGGGGGGGGGTCCGTTAGTTGCCCCAGCTTGGGCCTTTGTGCCTTCTGGGCTGGGGTGTTGTGGTGGGGGGAGGGGGGTTTCGTTTCCTCCTTCCCTTCTGATTTAGTTTACCATATTTGCCAGCTTGAATTACACACCCTCACATCGGGCACATGCATCTTTAGTTTCGTTGTTTGTTTTGGCAGCCATTTTGCTTTCCTGGGAGTGCTTCCACATCCGGCCACTGGGCAGTGCTGCTGGTTGTGTTTATAATTGGCTGCTGTGTGTTTGCGCTCGCATTTTGGGCAGTTTTCATTTAGTTCATGCACTCTTGTTCTGATTGGGGACTGTTATTCCTTTTGGTGTGACATATCTCTGGTTTGGGTTATGTCTGCTTTGTTAAGTGTGGGGAGGTGCGTGGATTGCTATGTTTTCCTGCATCCCTGCTGTGGTGTCGTTTGTTGTTTTGGTAAGTTTGTACTTATCTCGCTGTGCTCCTCTTGTTGGGCTTGTGGGGGTGGTGAAAAAACACACCTCATCCCTGTGTTTTTTCTGGGGTTCATGTTTCTGTGCTTCTGGATCTCCTGCAGTTCTCTGTTTGTAGCCTTTACCTCAGCCCTGCCTCCTGCTTTCTCTTTCCTTCCTCCTTGTTCTTTCCTTCCTCTTTCCCAGTTCTTTTTCTTGTCTCTGTGGCTCGTTTAGGTACTCGGCTTCCTCCGGTGTCCCTTTCTAAGTGTTCTACTCGTTTTGAGTTGTCCATCTTTTCCTGTCCTGTCTTGTCTGCAATGGCACGTCCTTATTTATTTTCTCTTCTTCAAAGTTTGTTCTCGGGACTACTTTTATTCCCCTTTGGTAAGTGTTGTTTGCATTCACTCCATTCTTCTGGATGCTGGATATTCTTACTAATCATAACTCCCTGATCCCTTTCGCAATCCGACCGACTCACCATCTAGGGCAGATGGTTTCTGAAGCCATTTCTGAAACTTAGAAGTTGGTAATTATACACAAAGTACTCACACTGACAAGTAAACAAATACAGTAACTTGAAATGCATCTTATATATTAATTGTTGGATTCTTTATTGTTACTAACAGGGCGTGTCTTTGGTGGCAAGGACAGAGAGTGGTGACTGGGTGAGCCTCAGTGAAGAGGGAGGCACAACTACTATTAAGAAGACAAGTGGAAGAAGCAAGCAAACTGGCAATGGCTCCAGTATAAAAGAGGTGCAGGTGAGCGTGATGAAATCAGTCCATACATTTATGTTAGTTTGCTCATTGCCAGTTTTGAGAATTATTTTGCAGCTAAAAATTTACAAATCACATCCTTATTTACAATGTCTGTTCGAGAATGTGCCCTTTTACCTAAGTTTTGTGCTTAAACCACATGATTGCTCCTGTAGGCAAATATTCGCCTCTCTCTCCTGGACACAGCTAAATTCTAGCTTGATCGATGCAACCTTTAGATCTCTGATTTAACTGAGAACTTTTCATGCCACCCCCTATCCTATCCATGAATGAAAGGTGGTTTATATTGTTCAGTTCTTCAGTCAGCTCAGAATGACAGTTGGAAGGCTCGTTTAAGTACTATACTGTACACAGAATACCTCTAAGAAATACTTAGTTCAGAGAGAGATTTCCAAGTACTGTAATTGTATCCATGGCCTCTGATCTCTTCCTCTTGGAAGCTGCTTGTCACCGGATGGCCACAACAAAGGTTTCTCCACGAGATGTGATCACCACACAAACATTTCATTGTATTAAGTTCTTAAATCCCTTCTACCCATTCTTACATATATATTATTCTACTCTACCCTTCCAAAATGTTGGTTATTTGCCTGTCCTTATTTCATACTGATATACCCTTCTTGTTCAATATTTCTCAGGCATCCTACTAACTTGTCCATACCACTTAAGAGTATTTAACTGAACCCAGTCCACAAATATGCATTTCAGATTCCATCACTCCCTTCACTCTTCCACATCTCTCATATAATTCTTCATTATTATACCCGTCTCCCATACATCAGCTGTTTTTTTATTCACTACTTGTACTCTTAAGCACACTCTCCTTTTTCCATACCCAAATTTCCTCTTTAGGAAACATGTAGTTTGTGCAAAGGTTTTCTCCTTTTAAGGACTGCACAAGTGTTATAATAGGACACATCAGGGTTATGCATCGGTGTTGGTGATTAGACAAGTCTTAATTGTTGTTTCTTGTAGTTAGACTTGCCCCTTTAACATTTTTTAATGCCTACAGTCGTCATTTGCTCAAAACGCCAAAACATTCCAATGACGATTGTAGTGATCATTTTCAGCGTCATGTCATCTAACTTTAACTCTCCTTTTTGTTACAATATTTTATTTTGCTTTTGTTGCATTTTATTAAAACTATCATAAAGTACAACTCTATATCATAAAAACTATACCAAATTAAACACTTTACCATGTATTGTAACTTCACAGTATGCATTGTTAGTAAAATATCATTAATCAATTTGTGCTTGGCCCAAGAAGCTGGTAGCACCCAAAATTGGTAAGGGGGCAAAAATGTGAAAGGGTTAATGTGAATATTTAATGATGATTTAATGGTGTTGATGATGTATGATGGCGACTTTTGTTGCTGTTGTTGCAATGTTTGTTTTCTACAATTGATGGTTTAGGGAATTTTACTTCACATAGTCTCTAGACACATCTAGGTGCTGTAGGTGATGCTCTGAAAACCCAGTGTGTAATTACCTAAGTTTAGTTACAGGATGAGAGCTACGCTCGTGGTGTCCCATCTTCCCAGTACTCTTTGTCATATAACGCTTTGAAATTACGGACAATTATTACTGTTCCAACCGTCTACTACTCTGTTTACAAAAGTGAATTTTCTTATATTTCTCTGGCAGCTTTGTTTCGTTAGTTTAAATCAATAACCTCTTGTTCTTGAAGTTTCAGGTCTCAGGAATTCTTCCCTATCAATTTTATCAATTCCTGTTACTATTTTGTACGTAGTGATCATATCGCCTATTTTTCTTCTATCTTGTTTTTGCATATTTAATGCCTCTAACCTCTCCTCGTAGCTCTTGTCCTTCAGTTCTGAGAGCCACTTAGTGGTATGTTTTTGCACCTTTTTAAGTTTGTTGATGTGCTTCTTAAGATATGGGCACCATACAACCACTGCATATTCCAGCTTTGGTCTAACAAAAGTCATGAACACGTTCTTTAGTATTTCTCCATCCATGTATTTAAAAGCAATTCTGAAGTTAAAAAGTGTAGCATTTGTGTGTGTATGTGGTGCAATGATAACCTAGTTTTGTGTGAAGACATTTTGAAACTGTTCATTTATGGTTTTGCACTTTTCCTTCTTAGTCTCCATGAATTTGTTGCCCAGTCTTTATCTCTTTCTCTCTGGGCGGGGCCTCTTAGTTTCTCCCTTGTGCTTAAGGCTCTGGTACCACAGAGATTCTCAACACTACCTAGCTTCTGGCGTTATGCAGAACTACCAACAGCTAGGATCAAAATCTAGTCTGCTCGTCTACCTTAAACTGTCCAGAAAGTACAGGCAAAACAAAACAACTATTTTTGATAAACAAAGAAAGAAAAACAAGACAAAGGACAGTTGGCTGTGGTTAATTATCATTATTAATTAATAATTATGGTGAAGTGGTCAATTCACTTAAAGCGACTGACACCAGGTGGCACCCCCAAGTCACACTGAGGTCCAGCAAGACTAGTTCCTCACCTATGTTCTGGTACCTTTTATGGTAAAATGATGACTGTCCTGAGGGAGCCCATGCTTTGTCTCTCTTCATTATTTACAATTCATGATTGTGCTTCTGCCACCCACCTTGTATGTCCCAGGACGTTTATTTTGATCCTACGTAGTTTGATGGAACCCTTCCTTGACGTTAGCTTCCATTTCCCCTTCAACCCCATAGGTACCTTCTTTGAGGTATTTGGATGTAGATTTCTCCAGGGCTTCTCTTTTTAATTTGTCCAGGTAGTATTAGAGAATGTCTTTAATGTTAAACCTGTTGCAGAATTCAGTAGGTAGCTGTGTACTAATGTATACTGTCTTTAGTGCCTGGCCTTCACTCGTGTTGAGAGTTATGCTCATGGTGTTCTGTCTTTCCAGTACTCTTTGTTATGTGACACTTTGAAGTTGTTCCAACTGTTTGCTACTACTGTATTTGTAAAAGAAAGCTTTTTATATTTTTGTCACCTTTATTTATTTCTTTAGCTTGAATCTATGACTTCTTGCTCTTGAAGTTGCAGGTTCAAATAAAATTCCTCTGTTTTTTTGTTGATTCCTGTTACTGTTTTGTACTTAGTGATCATATCACCTCTTCTCCTCATATCTTTTAGAATTGGTGTGTATAATGCCTCCCGCCTCTCCTCATAGCTCCTGTTCTTAATATCATATTCTAAGAGATAACCTTAAAGTTAACTATGATAGATTTTTCCTTATCACAAAGGTCTACCAGGTTCATAAATTCTTGCACTTTGCATATTGTCGATGGTTCCTAGAATGGGCATCAGTCAATGGATTGTGATGAACCAGACATTTTGCCTGTCTTATTTTTTACTAAGACTCAGGAAGGAAACTAAAGCTTTCAGGATTTTGGTTCCAATATGGAAAACTATTGCAAGAGGTTTCTAGTGTCCAATGATATCCACATAGAATCGCTAGGAATTTGAATATTATGGGACACATCAAGTCTTCCACAGGCCCCTATCATTTGAGGACAGAGAGAGCAGTTTCAGGATTTAGCACTGAGAAATACTAAGAAATCCTTCACAGAAAGATCCCTGTTGTGTTAGTGCAGAATGTCATCTTGCCCTGACTAATCATGGTTCTGTTTAATAAATCATTCAGTGATCTTTCCTTAGGGAGCATCCAATAGTCAGAAAGGAGTTTTCATATTCACTGAAAACAAGATTTTTCCTTTTTGTCATTTGTACATGTTATCATGTACAATATTCAGCACAACTAACAGAAAGGAAAAATAATAAGGTTTTTATCTTACCTGTATTTTGCCAATATTCTTTGTTGCAGATTCAACTCAAGATTCATGGTGGACTTGGCTTGTCTGTGATTCAACAAACGCCTCCACAGGAACTCATATATGCCAAGTTATCTGATATTGTGTTTGAGTATCAGAGCTCCCTGCTACATCGAACTGTTGACTGCAGTGTAAGAGATATTCAGGTAAGGCAGTTATAAATTTTTTAAATATCTGTACATTGAGTTGAAAGTACTCTAATAGATTTTTCAACACCAGTGAAGTTTTTATATTTCTCAATACTCATTAACCTCCATCATGTATCTATCATGAAAATGGACACTGTAGCTGTGCCAAAAAAAAGCAAACAAATAATTTATTGTAAAATGATACATTTGTATGCAAAAACTAAGGAAAATAAAAATACTTTTCTGATTATGTCAGCTGTTGGAGTAAGCCAGGTGGCAGGGGTCATTGTTTCATTTGTCATCATGTGAGAGTGCTGACTCAGTGGTATGGGGGAGAGGAATCCTATGATGACATTAGATGTTTTTATGTATGCTGTTTCACTTACCAATTTCCATAATGTAGTACTTGTGTTAAATAACTTGGGTTGTGCGCACACAATTGACAAACACGACGATTGATTTGTATATGTATGCCTACAATGTACACACACCTAGTGCATGTCAATCTGTTCTTGGCACAGCTTGGAGTAAGTGTCTTTCAACTTCATTGTACTTTGTAATTAATCTTTTCAGCTTTTTTTTTTCTTCTGTTTTTTGTGAAACTTTTATCATAGAACCATAACTGACATTTTATTATCATGGGAAATACCCTTAGATTTAAGGAAAATAAAATAAGCCATAGATACTTGTAAAGATCAAAACTACTTCAAACCCTTCATTAAACATGCTAAAACTAGAAGATAAAAGAAATAGAGGTGATATGATCACCATTTACAAAATACTAACAGGAATCAACCAAATTGACAAAGAGGAATTCCTGAAACCAACATCACGAACAAGAGGACACAGATTCAAGCTAAGGAAACAAAGGTGCTGAAAAAATATTAGAAAGTTTTCTTTTGCAAACAGAGTGGTAGACGGTTGGAACAAGCTAAGTGAGAAGGTGGATGGAGGCCAAAACCGTCAGTAGTTTCAAAGCGTTACACGACAAAGCGTGCTGGAAAGATGGGACACCACAAGTGTAGCTCTCATCCTGTAACTACACTTAGATAATTACAAGATTTTGATGTATAAAAGGCTGATTACACAAATTCATAACCCTTCCCATGCTTCAAAGTCCTCTACAGTACACACAAGACTCCTAAAAGATACAAGACATATCCATTAAAAATTAAAAATTAGTGACTGGAATAACATTCTGCTTGTCTAAATTTACACGTGTTAATATCTTCGTTAGTCCTGTTCATATAAAAATCTAGGGAAATATAAAAGCTGAGGAAAAATAAAACTCAACAATAAATCCATAGAAGAAATCACAGAAATGACCAACCCCCTCGCTTCTACAGCAAATTGAATGACATTGCAAAGTAGAGAAGTAAATGATGACCAGACCACACACTAGAAGGTGAAGGGACGACGACGTTTCGGTCCATCCTGGACTATTCTCAAGTCAAGACAATCGACTTGAGAATGGTCCAGGACGGACCGAAACGTCGTCGTCCCTTCACCTTCTAGTGTGCGGTCTGGTCAACATACTTTAGCCACGTTATTGTGACTCATCGCCTGCATAGAGAAGTAAATGTTTGAAATGGAACCCAGGACTCGGCACTTGGTCCTGACTCCTAGAATTTCATATTTATAACAGAGGTGCAATAGTATGAGCACTCAATGGAATATGGAGTAAAAACTTGGTTATTATTAAGATAACAGTAGCACTTAATCTAGCAGATATAGCTCAATTTCACAAGGGAGTTGCAATAGCAAAAAGCTATTGAAAGGTGCAGATGACGAGTCACAATAACGTGGCTGAAAATATGGTGACCAAACCACATCAGAAAGTGAAGAACTTTCACTTATAATCGTGCGGCACTGGCAGAGCTGCTCCAGCTTGCGTTCAGGGTGGATGTTACTTCCGCCCTGTTCCGTAAGCTTTCTCGTGCTTTGTTTCACCTCTGGCCTGCTCATGCGCCACCTGAGCCGTCCTGGTCCTTGGACCGGGTGATCTTTTTTCTCTTTTCTCTTCAGTTTGTGGTTGCCCCTTCAGTTCAAGATTGTTTTTCCAAAGCTCTGTTTCTGTTGGCATTGGCCTCTGGGGGTCGGGTTGGTGAGCTTCATGCTCTCCTCCAGCACAGGGGTTTCTGCTCTTTCGATCCTGGTGGTCAGGCCGGAGGTGCATCATGTGTTGTCTGGTTGCGGCTCTTCGCCATTACCTGCGCGCCTCTGCCTCTGTGGTTGTGGACGCGATTTGGGTTGCCCCAATTTCCCTCATTCCCTGTTCCAGGGCTCGGGTCTCTCAGGTCGTCCACAGAGTTATTAGGTCTAGCCAGCCTGCAGTGTATCTTAGTGCCTATGAAGTTCGTAAGTATGCTGCTTTGGCTGCCGTGTTTGGTAATATGTCTTGGGCTGACATTCGGGCACAGGGGTTTTGGAGATCGAACAGGGTCCTGTCCGCCCGTTATTTGGTAAATGTACCTGGTCCTGGTCGTTCGTGTGTGGCTTTGGGTCGTATGTTGCAGCCAGTTGTCTCAAATTCGAGTTGATGTGCACGTTGCAACCCTCTCCTAGGTGAGTCCCTCATTTACTTGTCTTTGGTTATGTAGCTCCAGGGAGCCAAAGAGGGTCAACACAGAAAACCAGCGTTGAATGAAATGCAATTTTCTGGGTGAGACCCAGAGGCTTCCTGGCACCCTCCCTCCCTCTGCTCGGCGTTTTCATTTTTGATGCTCAGCCTACGAACTGAGATGTGAGTAGCTAGCGTGGGGGTCTGGAGCTCCCCCCACCTCTCCCTCTCAGGGAGGGGAGGGCTGCGCGGACAAGCGTCGTGGAGGCGGTGAATGACGTTTGCTTGTTTTGTTATGTTTTTGGGGGAGTTCTGTCTCTCTATTCAGTTTTCGATGGGAATTTCTACCAGGTGGGGTTTGTTTTGTTATGCCTACTTTTCTAGTTGCCTAATCCCGGTCAGTGGCAGACATGGAATATTCCCGAACACAGGGGGGGGGGGGGGGGGGGGGGGGGGGGTTTCCATAGGCCATTGCTCCCTTTGTCTCTGAGGAGGCCAGGTTCTGGCTCGTGGTACCCGGTAGGCAGAACTCCATTGACTGATGCCCAAGATTAATATAGCGTACAGTATGTCAGTCCGATAGCTCCAGGGAGCCTCGGGACTCACCCAGAAAATGACATTTCATTATATTCAACTTTTTTTTTTAACAATACAGAACATGTCTGTGTTGATCCATATGACAGCTTAACATATAACCTGATTTATTTATTTCCAATTATATTTTCAATGATTCTGGTAAGTTTTCTAGGATACTGTATTTTACTTTTTATGAACCATTTTTGGTGTTTATATCAGGTGGATAATCAGCTTCAAGGTGCCCAGTGTGCCGTGGTACTCTACGTCACCCCTCAGAGTAAGAGTGATGAGACTCGTCATCTCCCTGCTATGTACCTTACTGCTCATCAGATCTTATCATCATGCACGAATGCATACATATTCAAGGTAACGTGATCTTTTCAAGAATTATTTGCTTCTTAGCCATGATATGTATTATGCTTAACAGGTAATGGAAATTAAATTAAAATGAAACAAATAATTAGGTCAGGATTTATTTACTGTACTGTACTTACCAACAGAACTTAATGGTAACCACGAAAAATTTGACCGTTACTCTGGAAGAAACACTGTTGTTTAAGCTGTTTTTAATGATTGGGTATGACCAGTCCGACTGTGAGCTGGAAAAGGTGGAGGAGCATCAGTACGACATGCGTAGAATGCTGGCTGCTGCTACATCAGTCAATGCAACAAGGTATTTAATCAATATACTTGATTTGTTTCATCAGATGATTTAATGAACTATTGACTCCTAGCAAGTCATGTCATGCAGCCATGCATATTTTTGTTTACATTGCAGTTATCGAAGTCATGCCTCTTGAAATAAGTTCATTTTGTCTGAATTTACAAACAGAAGTATCTGGATGTGAATGTGAGGTTGTGCAGTTAGTCCTGATCTGACCTGTACCCAAACAAGACAGGTACCTGTACCTGGGGCTTGACGGCTGAGTGGACAGCACTCGGGATTCATAGTCTTAAGGTTCTGGGTTCATTCCCTGGCAGAGGCAGAAACAAATGGGCATAGTTTCTTTAACCCTGATGCTCCTGTTCACCTAGCAGTAAATAGGTACCTGTGAGTTAGACAGCTGCTATGGGCTGCTCCCTGGGGGTGTGTAACAAAAAGGAGGCCTGGTTGAGGACCAGGCCACGGGGATAGTAAGCCGTGAAATCTTCTCAAGATAACCTCAAGATAGTCTACTAAAGTGAGGCAATTGTCCACAAAAGGGATGTAACTTGTCTAGAAGGTTTGATGTATTTTACTTAAGAATTTAGCCCAACTGTACTTACAAGTACTAATAACTGGATGCAATGATTGTATCTGATCAAGGAAGATGTCCTCATTTGTGTCAGGTATCTCTCTCAATATAATATAGCCTTTCTATTTGTGGATTTTAGAGATAAGACCCCACAATTTTTCATATAGCCAACATGTATATGGTTCACACAGGAAACCATCTGCTTCCAGGATCCATGCAGTTTAACACCCAGTTGTGATGACTTTCATATGGACTTGTCACACAATTGGGGCAGGTAGACAGTAGTCCACCGATGGACCAACTTGCTCTAACACATTAGAAATGCTCTGTACACTTGGCACCCCTTCAAGCAGTTATTGAATACCCAAGAAATGCCAGTTATCATTCTGCAAACTACTGGTAAACAAATTAAAAGCTACACAGACCACCATCAGATAGCAGCACTGCCCATCACATTCAGGTGCCAGCTTTGAGGACTAATGATGGTACTGATATAGAAAAAACATTTGCGGGTCAAATTTCAAAAGCTGTTGGATACCTGGATTTGGGAACTTTATGCAACCAGCTAAAAAAGTTAACTGTAAAACTTTTACATTGCTTTTATTTTCAGATACTACTTCACTAGTCTCGAACTGCATCTCACTCAAGTTAGACTCAGTGTTCTTACCTCAAAAAAATTAAGTCCAGAACTCAAGAATATAAAAAGAAAAATGGGGCTGACATTGGTCAGGTTTGAGAATGCAAGTGTGAATTTGGAGCCTTTCATTCGTTGTCATCCATTTGAAACCTCTCACTTTTTGTTTGACTGTATCACTAAACACTACCGGGAGGTAAGTGAATTATGGTAGTTGTATTTTGTTTGTATTATCTGTTTTATTTCATAAGTTTTTATTTGCTAATTTAAAATGCAGTTGTATAGCACATTTGACCTTAACCCTTAAACTGCACTGGATATTTTGATGCATTTCTTGTCGTGTGCACGAAATAAAATTCTTCTGAATATTTTAATTTTATAGTCTAGAAAAAATAAAGATAAAAACAAAACTGAAACATTCCTAAGCTTGGTATAGCACATATATGTACTATATTAGTACTAGGATTACTAGAAGAGGTTAGGTTAGGTTCTATGTCCATATTGGGGTTAAACAAAACTTTCCCATTTAGCTAAATTCAGTAATATGGAATGTCAACATTTTGGTGGTACATGACTGCATATTTGTATGTTCCACCAAATAGTTACTGTAAGTGCTTTCATTTTAGGAGGATGAGCTGTATTATATCAAAGCTGAACCAGTCACCTTAAGGTGTTATTACCCTTAAAATAACAGGATCCCAATTAAGAGATATGTTACAATATACCTTGCCTGTTCACCTAGCAGTAAATAGGTACCTGGGAATTAGACAGCTGCTTCCTGGGGGTGTGTAACAAAAAAAGAGGCCTGGTCGAGGACTGGGCCGCGGGGACGCTAAGCCCCTAAATCATCTCGAGATAACCTCAAGATATGAAGAGAAATAGTGAGCAAAGCAATTTTGGTTGGATACATTCTGCAGAAGGATCTCAATGGATTAACCCTTTTAATACTACTGTCATGGGTCTTATATTGCATGTTCATCTTGTTCTTGTTCAATATCTTCTCTACCCCATTTTTACCTACTGTATTCAAAAAGAAAATCCAAAGTTTGTGCATTTCAAATAATTTGGAATGTACAATACTCATGCAGTACATACAGTACATGCAGTACATGCAGTACATGCAGTGCTTGCTATTGGCAAAAATTTATTGTAATAATAGGAATACTGTGTAGCATATTGCTTTTAAATTTATTTTAGAATCTTATCATTAATAATTTCTTACTTATCTCAGGAGCTGAAGTCACAGGCGATGAAAATTCTTGGGTCAACAGATTTCTTAGGTAATCCGTTTGGTTTCTTTGCTGACGTAAGCGAAGGAGTGAATGAACTGGTTAATGAAGGATCAGTGGGTGGCCTAGTGTGGAACGTAACGCATGGCATGGCCAATTCTACTGCCAAGGTGACGGGTAAGCTTTTGGCCTGCTGCAATGTGACATGCTTTTTGCCACCTGTTTGTCTGCATTAACATAAGAAATTGATCCATCATTAACAAGAAATGAGATATATATGACAGTTTAGCTGCTCATCTCAAGTAATGTAATAGCATTTTGTTGAGATACTTTAATGTATTCAATAAGTGTTTGGGATTTAAACAGATATATTTTAGATTCTTACTAGGTGTGTACCAGTTTGGTCATTTTACCAAAAAATATATGAAAATGCATAAAAACACATGGCAAGAATAGTATGACTATGTTATTTGTTAGAGCAGAGGACCTTAGAAACCAAGAAAGTCAGCCTATCCTTGTCTTTTATATGGACAAGTCTCTGCTTTTTATAATATAAAGGTTAGTTATATTAAAATATACATTGTTCATTGAGAATTATTTAAAGTCTTCTGGATAATGTAGTCAAAATAATTGTCAGCACAGTGCAGTTTTGTGTAAACTGAAACGTAAAGATCTGCCATAACAGATATTGTATATATATATTGTAAGTACAGTTTATTGTGTGTGTGTGTGTGTGTGTGTGATATATATATATTTGTAAATATGTACAATATTTACAGTAGATAGCCCTAGGATAGGTAGTTTTGTTTGACTATTCTTCTTTATGTACAAATATATATATATATATATATATATATATATATATATATATATATATATATATATATATATATATATATATATATATAATACATACATATACATATACAGTATATATATATATACAGTATATATATATACAGTATATATATATATACAGTATATATATATATACAGTATATATATATATACAGTATATATATATATATATATAATGTGCATTACTTACAATATGTTTTCAATATCTGGCACCCTGTGTTTTGTGTTTGATATTAACAAAGCTGTGTGTGAACTGTGTTGATAATTACTATTGCTATGGCACAATCCAAAGTAATTAATTTCAAATATAATTTGTACGTAGTGATGCTCATGCCTTAAAATGTCTCAAACAAGCAGTACTGTATTATGTTATGTCGTGTGTGGTGTGGTGTTTTTAATGTGGGGTCAGTGTTTGAAAAAAAAAAAAAAGCAACATCTATGCCAAAAGAGGGCAGAAGTAAAGGTGTGGCATAAAATGGAACCCAATGCTTATGAACAATTGTTGTAGGCTCTCTTGTCACCACTTACTAGTCACCATCATTTGAACCTTACCATAAGACATCACCACTTAATTGTAAGTCACCACCACTACTACACCTTTGCATCTATAACACAGGTTATAAAAGGATACATATCTCTTACTTTGACATGAATAAACACTGTATTTCTGGGGCGAGCCCCTTCGGCTTCCCGGTCAAAGCGGCATCAGTCAAAGTGAATAGAGTTCTGCCTCTCAGTGACCATGAGCCAGAACCTGCCCCCCCCTCACCCTCAGAGAGGCACGAGGAGCAATGGCCTATAGAAACCCTTATGTGATTGGATTCATTTTATGTCTGGCATCAACTGGATCAGGCACCCAGAATGGTAGGCTCCCCAACACAAATCCTATCTCATTAAAAATTTGCTACTGAAAGTTGAACTGTTAAGCAGCGCTCCCCAAACTAAAAACAAGCAAACGAGCATGACGTCACAACCGTCACCACGCCGCTGTCTGCACAGCTCCCCTCTCCCAGGAGGGGACAGTGGGGGAGTTCCAGACCTGCTATCCACCCCAAGTTCTGACGCTGGTGTGAGACCTGGCAGTCGTGCGACTCTGGTCCCTGACGTTGTCCAGTGCTGTGCCCTGTGGTGTGGTCCTGTTCTGAGGTGGTGTGCGGACCAGGAGTAATTTCACTGGTACTCAGGCTGCATGCGCCTAGAGTTACCTTCCCTCGGTGCCCTGTAAGTACTGCCCTTGTGGCTTGGGGTTACCTTCCACAAGTCGCTTGGGACCCACCTCCACTGTGGTCCTTTGCTGCTCAGTGATTGCCCGCCCTTGGAGTCAGCTGGGGTGTTTCTTGTGCCACTGTTTGCCTCTGGGTAGGAGGAAGTTTCATCACTGGTAGGGGCTCAAGGTACTGTGCAGCTAGTTTTCAACATAAGATAACAGCCGGCTCTGTTCCACCTGGGAACTCTGTACTCGTGCAGGGTTTTCTTTTATTTTTGTTTGCTGCCTGGTGGGGATGGGGGGTTCTGCCTTGGTGGTGTTGACCCTTATATATATATTCTTGGTGGTCCTCCACTAGGGCCCCATGAGTGATCATATCACAGGGGTTCAGCACTAAGTAGTTTGCTTGGTAGTTTGGGGTGCTGGGGTGCCAGTTAGCAGTACCTTGCCTAGGCTTCCCTTAGCAGAGCGTCTAAGGGCCGTGGAAACCTCCATTAAGGCTCAGTGGTCCAATGGATGCGTCCCCTGGGTCCCATCTCACTTCGTGCGAGTTTGAGAGTTGTTCTGTCCCGTTGTGTCAAGGTGACAATCACCAGTTTTGCCTCTGTCATGCTGACTGTTGGGTCGGTGGCACCTTCGACCTGAAGTTCTGCGAGTGGTGTTCCTTGCTTGTACTCCAATACACCCAGTCCCCTAATCTTGATATTCGGGTGCAGGCAGCTTCGGCGTGGCATACGTGTTTTAGATGCTGCAGTGTGCTAGGTTGGTAGCTCACCCGAATGCCCAAGGCTGCCCCGTTTTGGTTATAGAGACCCGGACTTGGGGCCGTTAGTCGCCTCGACTTTGGTTTCATCCACACCCCCTTGTCCTTTCCCTGCTGTTGTTTATTCTGTTCACTTCCCCCCTCCCCCCCCCCCCCCTCCCAGGCTCTGAAGCATCTGAATGTTTCGGAGTCAGGGCAGGGTTTAGTTGGTGGTGACACTCGGGCAGTTTCTGGGGATACACCATATGGAGTGGTGAAGGAGGCATTCGAAACAGTTCCTCCAACCAGTTCTTGTGGGTCTGACCAGCGGGCCCCCATCTCTCCAGCTTTTCTGGTGGTCCTGGTGTAGAGGTTCTCGGGGCAGGGGAAGGGGTTGACTTGGGGGGCTTGGTCCGCGTTTGACCCCGCTTGAGTGTTGGTATCCTCTGACCAGAGCTTGTTGTTGCAGGGGGTGGGGTTTTCTTATCCTCCCTTCCTGTACGAGTTTGATATGGCATTTGCTCCTCCCTGGGGTTCGGATCCGGGTTCCCTTGGATTCTTCAGTCCCTTTCTTCTGGAGGTTTTCGGCCTCCTGCATCCCACCTCATGAGGTGCGGGTGGCCCATGCGGCTTACCTCCTGCGTGACCCGGATTATGGCTTGATAATGGATCCTGCCTCTTTCAAGTTTGGTTCTTCATTTCCTTACTGGGTGCATTACGAGGTTCCAGAGTCATCCTGCTTGGCAGACTGTCCTCTTTTTCCATTGGGGGCGTGGCATGTGTTCTGTTGGTCCCGCACCCTTGAGTGGCTAGAGGCTCTCATGGTTGTTCAGGTTTACCTGGGAGGGTGAATTTGAATGCCTCCAGGCATATTTGTTAGCCCCTGCCTTTCCTTGGGATGTTGGCCTGGTGCAGGTTCCCTCCCTTTCGGCGACCCTGGTAGCTGAGGACTTGCGCACCCGTGGCCATTTTGCTTCGGTCCTCCATTTCTTTTTACCTTCTCGACCTGTCTTCAGACTGGCTTGAGGAGAATGTGGAGACACTGGGTGCCGATCCTGGGCCTGATGCGCTGGTCTCAGTGGTGCAAGCATCTGCTGCCCTGTTGAAGCTGTTTGCGTAAATCCTGCGGGAAGCGGTGTCTCTGTTCTTTGCTTCTCACCTCGCATGCTGTCAGGTGGTGCTCGCTCAGTCCTTGGAATCCACTTGGGGCCCCCCTGGCTCTTAGGTTTTCTATGCCTTTTTATCCTTTAGCTGTTTGCGGAGTCTGTGGTGGTGCAGTATCTGCAGGCAGCTTCTTCTAGTTGTCGTCCCATGTCAAACTTGTTGGTTCTCTGGAGAGTGGGTGGGGGGGCTGTGAAGGCTCTTCCCAGAAGGGTTATGTCAGAGCTTGGGGTTCTTCTTGCTGTGGTAGGTTGGTGGTGCCAGTTTCAGAGCCGACGCAGCCTTCAGTGTTGGCGACGTCTGGTCAGCACGGTGATCACTCTGCTACCCTGCTTCTTGTAAGGGGCGTCGGCCCTTTCGCGGTTTGCCCCGTTAATGGAGCAGTCAGGTGGAGGCTCACTTTGTTTGCTCATGCCTGGTCCCACAATTTGTGGTGGGTTTCAGGTTGTTTTCTCCGGCCTGCAGTGGCATTGGGTGGCTCCTCCTCCTTTGGGGGGTTCGGGGGGACAGGCCTTTTGTCCTGCGTTCTGTCAGCTCATCTTGGAGTGGGTGCTCTTGGGTGTTGTCAAAACGACCCCATCCCTCAGGTGGGTTTCCCCACCTGTTTCCAGTTTGGAAAAGGGACTGTGGGGATCTGAGGTTCAGTTTGGAATTGTCGTGTCTGAACCCCTGGATCTTTTGCCCTTCCTTTTGGATGACCACTCTGTCCCATGTCCAGCTTCTTTTGGAGCTGGGCTGTCTCTGAACCTCCGGGACACATATTGGCACCTCCCAATTCATCCGGGGGTTCAGGGACTGGCTCGGTTTTGGGGTGTCAAACTTACCGCATTCATTGCCTTCCATTCACCTTGAATCTGGTACCACGCATTTTCACACGCCTTACCCAGGTCATGGTGACCTGCTTACATCTGCTAGGGGTTCGGGTTCTGGCCTACCTCGAAGACTGACTGGTGTGAGCTCCCAGCCAGTCCGCATGTCTGCCTTCTCCAGATATTCCTCTCACTGCTCACATACCACACATTTTGGAGAATACTTCTCTCAGCAAGCACATAATCAAACTCTGTTGTTCAATTCTATCATTTACCTGTAACATGTATATGTATATCTGTACTGTATCCTTATATTTATAATGTGTATTAGTAACAGAAAACTCTTTAACACTTTCGCATCCCCAGCGTGCGTGCCCCAGCCCACCCCAAGGTGGGCCGA